CCTAGCTCAGATCAAGGACTTTGTTTCCTTGCTTCATCTGTTGGTAAAATGGCACCAATAATAATTTTCAAAAGGTGACTTTAATCTCTGCTTATTCTGCTCCCCCCAACCCCCATCCCCACCCCAAAGAACTGGGCAATCACCTACAAAGATTTTAGGAATAGATGACTTTAAAAATACTCATTTTAAACATAATTAAAACAACACATGTTTATTGTAGAAAACTTAGAAATTAAAAATAGATATAAAGAAGAAAATGACAGTCATACATTATCCCTCCAACTAGAGATAGTTACCCTCAATATTCAGGTATGTATATTTCTATGCACACATTATACAAAAATGGGATCATACTGATACGTAGTTTTATAACTTTTTTAAATTGAATGATATAGCATTGGCGGTTTCCCTGCTAAATAATATTCTTACACATCAACTTAATGACTGTATAGGATTTCAGTTCATATATGTAATAATCATTCATCCAATTCCTGTTATAGAAAATTTAAATTGTTTCAATTTTTTCACTATATAACAGCAGAATGAATGACATTTTAGTTATATCTTTGCACAAAGCCATGATGATTTATTTCCTATGAATAAGATCTTATAATTGGGTCAATTATACCTTAAATGGGTCAAAGGGTATACAAAATTTTAAGGCTTTTAGTACAATATTACCAAGCTGTCCTCCAGAAGTATTTATCAGTTTACTCTCCTCTCAGCAGGATATGATAATGCCTGTTTTCTGACATCATTTCTCTTACTGTTAGCATTAAAAAATCTTTGCCTTCGATGACTTCTTGAGATTTTTTTCTTATCCTTGATTTCTGTTTCCATGTAAGAAGGAGACTGCTTTCATTTGGCTTTTTTTCTTAAGTGGACTGATTAATAATCTCTGGCAAGAAGTTTTGGGCCACCATTTTTAAGTCACGGGAAGACCTGGACCACTAATAACATACGGAGGCCAAAATGGTTTCAAGTCAAAAAGTCCTGGCCTGGGGGCCATTTGTCTTGTCCTTGGGAGTTACTTCTATCCCTCGGCTCAAGGCACCTCATCTGTCTTCCTTCCAGCTCTTAGTTTCTACGATCCTTTGTCTTCCTGTTTCAGGGAACATTCTTGCCAGCTCATCCTCAATATCTGTGGACAGAAAGGTCGATCCAAAGTCAAGTATATTTGGACAAGATTTTTCTGCCTTCTTATCCTTTCCTTGCAAATGTACATCCTTAATAGAAATTTGAGTTCTATCTTTGTCTTTGTTCAGGCTGATAAAGATCTTTCAATTCAACTTGGATAATACTGATTGAGCAGCTGCATGGTTCGTGGTGACATAGAAGGCATAAGAGAGATGCAAATCCACTCTTCTTTCCTGGTAGTCTCTTTTTCTTTTCTCTCTCTGTAGTAAAATCTCATTCATGCACCAAAGTTTCCTCTTCGTCTCCTCTCTAGAGGATTCAAAATATCATGGCTGTCGTCATCTTCCTGCAACGTGACTCACTGGCTGGTTCTGAGGCCGGTTCATTGACTGTGAGGTCACCGTAAACAAGAGCTCCTGATAACACGGGTGACAGGTTCCTTCTCTGACAGCCCCAGTTATGTAAGATGCATTGTTCTGGTTATGAGCTCACCTTTAAAACAATGGCTGTGGTTAAAAAAAAAAAAAAAAAGACTAAGAAGAATCGGTAACACCTGAATAAATGAGGCAATTTGGGGGAACTTTCTGGTTGACATAGTATTTTCAGGGGCTTTAAAAGTGGAGTCATGCTTTCTCTGTGCTTGGAGCTCATTTAAGACTCTTGTTAATGGGACTACAAAGACTTTAAGCAGAGGGGCAAAAGTGTTTTGGCTTTCAAGCAGATTTTTAGCCCTTCATTAAGGATTGGGGAACAAAAGTCTGAGTCCTAGTAATGAAAAACTGAATCTGTTGCTTAATGCAGCATTAGGACACAGTTTGTGGGAAAATAACCTGCATTTTTGTATGCTGTTTATCCACAGAGACACGCGTATGTGAATATGCTGACACATGCACAGATACATGCTCAAATAATGCCACAGTATTTTTTACAGAAACATATGTATATATATATGTATATATATATATATATACACACATATATATGTACACACACACGTTATGTATATATATACATGTTTGTGGGTTTTTTTTGAAATGTGAGTTGCATCTGCAAAAGTTGTGTAATCCTGTCCTAGAGAGAGGAGCTTGTGTGGAGCATGGAGATTTTGGAGACACTCTCTTCTCTCCTTATTTGAAGCACAAGCCAGTGATTGTCATTCACACTGAGTAGAGGTGTCCGTGCCAAAGGGTGACAGAATAGATAAGTAATCCCCAATGTCAGCTGTTGGGTGTGATACCACAGAGATGTACGCCCTCTGTGCCTGCCAGGCCCATCTCTCTCTGTTCTGGAAAGTGGAATCCGATGATAAATGTCAATACACTTACGTTGCCACATGGAAGTGAGCTGTAGCTGTCTGGATCACAAACAGAAGCAGCAAATCGCAAGATGTGGGTGCCAGATGGCACTTAAAGTTGGGCACATGGGATGGATACTGAGAGAGGTTTTATTAGCCGAGATGAGTGGCCTGGCACTGCTGAGTGCCACCTTGCCCCCTCTGGGGCATTATCCAGTTTGCTTTTAGATACCCATTAAACACATACACCACCCTTCTGCTCCCGCCATTTAATGGACTTATCGGGATGTGTTTGGAGGTCCTTTGGCTAAGGGGTACCACCAAAATCTGTAAAAGGAAAGAGAGTAGTGTGGGAGCGAAGCCTTGTCATAGAGAAACTGTCCCATCAACAAGGCAAAAGAGATTTTTGTAATGAGTGGTGACGTTTCTTTCACAGTGCGATCAGGCTGGAGGGGCAAGTGAGTTGTTACCTGGGTCAACTTCCCACTTTACTGAAAGAGGTCTTTGGGAAAGTTTTTGGTGTCCCACAGCCAGTCTCATTTTCCTTTTACTATGCGGGTGGGGGAGGGATCCCTTCATAATATGAAAAACTTATATTTGTATTTTTGAGCTTTCCAATTTATTAAGCATGTTCATGTGTACTCATTTCTCCTCCCAACCTCACTGCTGTCATCCGCCTATTATGGATGCAGAAATGGGGACTCAGAGAGGTAGCAACCTGCTTCTAGTCACACAGCTAGTGAGCCCCTTACTCCTGCAGTCAAATCTGGACTTGACCCTTCAGCAGCAACTACCACTCATTGATGCCTACTGTCTTAGTCTGCTTAAAGCCACAGACTAGGGGCTTGTAAACAGAAATTTGTTTCTCACAGTTCTGGAAGCTGGAAGTTGGAGATCAGGGTTGCAGACCCACTTGTTGTATCCTCACACGGTGGAAGGGGCCGAGGATTTCAGTGGGGTCTCTTTTATAAAGGCACTAATCCCACCCATGATGGATGGCTCCACCCTCATGACTTAATCACCCACCAGGACCATCACATTGAGGGTTAGGATTTCAACGTATGACTTTTGGACAGACACAAACATTCAGATCATAGCACCTGTTATATGCCATGTGCTTTACACATATTATTTGGACCCTTTCAACAAGTCTATAGAGAAGGAATCATTGCTGTGATATACAGATGACAAAATCAAGACATAGAGGGACTAAATGCCTTGCTTAGTGTCACATAGTTTTTATGTGGCTAAGCTAGGATTTGAACCCATGACTTTCTTGACTCAAAACCCTACATCTCTCCATTCTAATAATTACAATAGCTAACAATTAATGAGAACTTACTATTTTCCAGCCACATTCTAAGGGTTTTTTTTTTAAGATTTTATTTATTTATTTATTTGAGAGAGAGAGAATGAGAGATAGAGAGCACGAGAAGGAAGAGGGTCAGAGGGAGAAGCAGACTCCCTGCTGAGCAGGGAGCCCGATGTGGGACTTGATCCTGGGACTCCAGGATCATGACCTGAGCCGAAGGCAGTCGCTTAACCAACTGAGCCTCCCAGGTGCCCCTAGGGGTTTTATTGATAGTAACTAGTTGAATGTTTATAACAAGACTACGAGGTAGGTTTTGCTAACATCCCCATTTTACAGATGGAGAAACCGAGGCATAAAAAGGATTAAGTGACTTACTAAAGACCACACAGCTGGAGATGGGTAGAACCAGGGTTTGAATGCGAGCAATTTAACTCTGGGAGCCACCTTCTTGGAACACCACTATGTCCACTTTAGCACTATGCTAGCTTGCATACTGCAGGTCCGGGGGTATGGTTTAAGAAGGCTTTTGGATAAACCCATTTCTTTATGATTTTGGTGCCATTCCACACTCTCTATAGAGTCAATACTAACTCCTATGTTAGTTTCAGAACTACCCCAACCCCCCAGGGTCTATTTTGGATCAGAAATGACTAGGCTCTTGCTACTGAAAATGCCCTTGCTGACTAGCAGCCTCAGCATCTACTTGGAAGCTTCTTAGAAATGCAGAATCTCAGCACCAGAGCTACTGAGTCAGAGTGTGCACCATTAGCAAGATCCCCAGGTGACACAGGCACGTTAAAGTTTTAGAAGCACTGGTCTAAGAGGGATCTAAAGCCTTTAAGGGCATAGTTCTGAATCTCAACCACGTTTTGGAATCCCTGGAAAGCTTTAAAAAGTACTGATGCCTGGATCCCACCTCCAGAGAATCTGACTTAATTGCAGCCTGGACACTGGGAATTTTAAAAGCTCTCCAGATGATTCAAAGTGCAGCCAATGTTGAGCTCTACTGCTCTGGGGATGCCTTGTCCTCAGCAGTTCCTCGGGGTTCACCCATATCCCCACACCCAAACACCTGAATCTGCCTCTAGGTTTGGAGGGTCAGAAAAGTCATGACAAGGCTGTTCGCCCCAAAGTTTATGATCATTATTATCATCAGTAGAGCAGTAATTATCAAAGAACTAGCACTGTTCAGACGCAGACTGGCATGGAAAGCTTTCCCCGATCCCACCTCAATGATTTTTCCTCCTTTTCTTTCAGTCACACATGAAATAACTTACCCTGAATGAAGAAGAGGAGGCTTCAGATGTGATGCTAATTACCCTGACCTTCCATGTTTGTAAGATTTGTCATCCAATCACGAGGCGCAAGTGTTTTTCCTACTGCCCAGAGGCCTATGTGGCAAAGGATTTGACAGTTGAAGAGGAGCTCAGGTTTGAAGTAGACATCCACGTCCTTGAGGCAATTATGTCCAATCCTCTGTGAAAGAACCCCTGACTGCCCATGGTGCTGACCCTGTAGTAGAGCCATGAGTTGTAATAAAAATGTAGAAACTTCCTCTCTAAGACAGGGAATATTTTTATGGTCTTCTTTTCACACAACACAGTAAGTTCCAAGACTTCGTTACATTCTGTGGTATCCTTGGTGCCCAGTATCCAACACACAGCAGGTACTTTGTAAGCTTTTGCTGAATGAACAACTGAGGAGATGACAATCATCAATACCATTTACTGACACTTTATAAACATTATCTTGCTTTGTCCTATGACAATCTTAAGAGAAAAATTCTTATTTGTTCATTTGTTTTTAATTGATCACTGAAGTTAAATAATTTATCCATTGGTCATTACTTTCTGGTAAGTGGCAAAATCTGGATTCATTCATTCAATATTTATTTTTTGAGTGCCAGACACTGTTCTAGGTCTTTGGACAGTATCAGTGAACAAAACAGAAAAGATTCCTTTCCCTTTGTAAGTTCAAGGGAGAGAGGCACACAATAAATAACATAATAAATAAGTAAATTATATAAAATGTTAGAAGATGTTAAGCTCTATGGCAAAAAAAATAAAGAAATAAAGAAGATCAAGGTAAGCAAATTAGGAGGATCAGAAGGGTTAAGGTAGTGGTGGGCAGTCTCAATGGTTAGTTTTATATGTCAGCTTGGCTAGGGTATTGTACCCAGTTACATAATCAAACACCAATCTAGGTATGAAGTTAATTTGGAGGTGTGGTTAACATATGCAATCAACTGACTTTAAGTAAAGGTGATCATAATTGATAACATGGGTGGGTCTCACCCAACCAGTCGAAGGCCTTAAGAGCAGAGAAGAAATTCTGCACAAGACTGCAGTCTTAACTCCTGCCTGAGTTCCCAGCCTGCTCGTCTGCCCTGCATATTTTGGACTCAGGCCAAGAAAGCAGCACCAACTCCCACTTGGGCTTCTAGCCTGCTGGCCAGCCCTGTGGGTTTTGGATGTACCAGCCCCCCAATTCCTTAAAATAAATCCCTGGAGAACCCTGACTGATACAGATTTTGGTAGTGAATGTGGGATGGTGATGTAATAAATGCCTAAAAATGTAGATGTGGCTTTGGAATTGGGTTACAGCAGAGGTTAGAAGAATTTTAAGATATGTGATAGAAAGAACCTAGATTGTCTTGATTGATAGAAATACAGACATGAAAGACAATTTTGTTGAAGACTCAGAAAGAAGTGGGGAGACTGCCGAGAAAGCTTTTATCATCTTAGAGAATGCATATGCTGTCCTACAGAATGTTGCTGCAGATGTGAATGTGAAAGGTACTTCTGGTGAGGTCTCAGCTGGAAATGATGAACATGTTCTTGGATGTTGGAGGAAAAGTGTTCCTTGTTACAAAGTGGCAGAAAACTTGGCTCAATTTCAGAGGTCTCAAAAACTTTGGGCTAGCATATTATTTTAATGTAAAATAAGATTGTGTGCAAGCCTGGGCCAGCAAGTTCTGTATAACCTGCAATTAATAGTTCATGAAAAGGGTAGGGAAGGGAGGTAGGATGGGATAGTGGTTAAACATTGTAATGGTTAATTTTATGTGTCAACTTGACTGGGCCATAAGGTGACCAAATATTTGATCAGACATCATTCTGGGTGTGTGTGTGTGTGAGGGTGTTTTTGGACAAGATTAACATTTAAATCAGTAGACTGAATAAAGCAGATTGCTCTCCTTAATGTGGTGGGCCTCATCCAATCAGTTGAAGGCATGAATAGACCAAAAAAGCTGACCCTCCCCCAGGTAAGAGAGAATTTTTTCTGCCTGATTGCATTTGACATGGGACATTTGGATTTTTTTTCCTACTTTGGACTTGGACTGAAATGTTGGGTCTCAAGCCTGCCAACCTTTGGATGGTAACTATACCACTAGATCTCCTGTTTCTCAGGCCCTCAGACTTGGACTGGAACTCAGCCATGGGCTCCTGGACTGGAACTAAACTATGGGTCTTTTCTTATTAACTCACCGTTGCCTGCCTCCATAATTGTGTGAGCCGATTCCCTATAAGTCTCTTTACACACACATACACACATGCACACACATGTGCACATGCATACACACACCCTCTACTGGTCCTGTTTCTCTGAAGAACCCTGAGTAGACAACAACTGGCCCTTCAGTACAGATAGTTTGTGGATTCTCTTAGTTTAGTGCTTCTCCAATTTCAGTGTGCAAAGGAACTTCTGGAACCCTGCTAAATATGCAGATTTTGACCCAGGAGGTCTGGGGTGGGGGTTGAGATTCTGCATTTCTGACAAGCTCCTGGGTGATGTTGACGTTGCTTGTCCTTAGGTCACTCTGAGTGGCAAGGCCCTAGGTAACTTCTATTACCACATATTGATTAATTAATGTCCTACCTTTTTACAAAATGGAATTTAGGAGCATGAGAAAATTAAGGTGACCTCTAAGGTCTTCCAAACCCGTCATTTCTGTGGGACTTTTACATACTTTGTTCAATTTTTTTTAAGAACTTAAATATGGTAATTCAGGTATGGTCACCATGCATATTGTTTTCCATTTTTTATCTGGAAACTTGTAGGCTAGATAACTCCACTTGAATCACTAAGTATTCCACACGGGCATTATAGGAATGCAATTTTATATAGTTTGAGTCAGGCTAATGATTTTTTAGGGCGTCAAATTATCCAAACCAGATGAGCTATCACTCCAGTCAGGGCATCTGTCCTCTCAAAGTCAGGGGTTTCATTTAGCCATTGAAAGGGCCACATGTTAGACTCCTGAACAGCTAGCAGACTTGACCTTACTTAAAGCAGAGTATAAAGACCCAGACGGAAGTGTAGACAAAAGGTGACCAATAAAATACTTTAAAATATATGTGTATGGGTAAGAGTGGAGGGGGTTGTCACTTTTCCTGCGGGTTCTAATTATGGAATTTGCAATAAAAAAGACCAGAACATGGCCTTCATAATATAAAGGGGCAGGAAACAGGAATGGTGCTGTTGGAGCTTGAGCGGCAGAGAAGAGAAGTGCTTGACAGCAGCTGTAGCCACAGGACCTGGCCACTGCCAGGACCAGAGCAGGCCAGGGGAGGATGCAGAGCAAAACACCCACCTCTCTTCTACCTTCCAGTCTCCATATTGGTGCCTCCTATTGGCCAAACCAACCAGCAGCTGGATGGCAAGTGACCCTGAGTTTTGCCATCTGTGGACAGCAATCTCCTGGGGCACAGAACCAGGCAAGGAATGGTGGAGAAGGGGTTCAGAGAGGCACATGGAGAATAGCCAGCACAAATCCCATATTCTATAACCTGACTCCCTCATTCTTAGGCTTCTCATAAACTTGATACACACAGACACATTTGAAACTCCTGCCGGACACTTATGCACCACATTGTTTTGGGATCAAATAAGACAGGACATACTGTGGAGGAGTTGTTACGTTTGAGTTGGTTCAGACCAAGATAACTTTGTGGTGAGCTCACATAGAGCTGAGAGATATGAGTTGGGAGAAAAGAGAGAAAGACACTTGAGACAGAGATAATACTGTGAGTAGCTTTGCAGGAGTGAAGAGGGATGATAGGAAATGAATGCCAAACAAGCCTGTTGGAGGGGGGCTTGAGGTCCTGATTTGAATGTTATAGAGGGAGCAATGGTTCTTGAATATAGGAATGACATATATAGAGAGAATATTAATAATCATCATAATAGTAAAAATAGCTGTGCATTGGGTAAATAAGAGATAAAATCATCTTCTATAGTAATTTTTCACATACATCATGTCATTTATACCTCACAACCCTGATGGGGATGGTAACATAATCATCTTCATCATTTTACAGAAGGAAAAATGAGGGTTGGGGGAAACTGCTTTGTCAAGTGTGGTAGACTATGTTATTGTTCAAAACTGTATTTTGTCATTCCCCGTGTAGCTTCTCTTTATCAGGTCCGCCCTACCAGACAACTTTCTGATTATACTTGTGCCATTGACATCAAGTTTGGTTATATGACTTTCTTTGGCCAATAAATGTGAATGAAAGTGACCTTCACTACTTCTAAGCAGAAGATCCATTGCTGTTTTTCCTCTCAGTAGAGGCTACCTTGTCGGCCCAGGTCCTAGAGTGAAGAGGATCTGAACAGATCTGTAGCCACAAACCACAGTGGGCATGTAATCAGAGCAAGAAATCTTTGCTCTGATCCCGCAAACCATTGAGAAGTGGGGGCCATTTGTTAATGCAACATAACCTAGCCTATCCTGATTGATAAACCAAAGACGCGAGTTTCCTCCTAGTTGCTGTGCTTGGAATACTCATCTTTAGTTTTCATTGTACTTGACCTCCCTTCATTTTTAATACTTGATCAGTCCTTCCTTTGTGAGATATTTATTTTCCTTTGTGGCTTCTACTGGTCTATGCCTGCTACTTCTTGGATCCCCTCGGGGTACCTCTGCCTCTGCTCCCTGTTGGTATTCACCAAAGTTCTGGCCTTGGATCATCTTATCTAACACATACATATTCCCTAGGCAACTGCTTTCATGATCCTGGTTTCATCAGTAAATGGGTGCATCCTATAGGAATTGGAGTAGGAAGCAGGAACACATTATACTTACAGCTTTGATACCAGAGCCATGGGGGAATATCAGATCATATCAAAGGGAAAGAGTGAGAGGGGACGGAAGGGTACTTTAATGGGTCATCCATCAGAAAAGAAGCCCAAGGTGAACTGAGCTGAGCTGTGGAACCAAGTGAGGATGGGGAGTTGAGAAAGATGAGGGTGACTTTACACCCCCCTCAGTATGTCTGAGCTTACGCTGA